GGGGGACGCGGCGCCGCTCGCTGCCGGAGTCGGGGACGATGCAGGCGGAGTCGGGGATCGTGCCGGACTTCGAGGTGGGCGAGGAGTTCCACGAGGAGCCCAAGACCTACTATGAGCTGAAGAGCCAGCCCCTGAAAAGCAGGTGGGTCCGGGGGCACTGCCAGGGCAGCGCGGTGCCCCTTCCTCCGCCGCCCGGCTCCCTGCCCTGCCCCCTGGCATGTCCCCCGCTCTCTGCCCCTGCGCCTCCTGGCCTTTGCCCCCGTTCTCGTCTCCCTACCTTCTCCCTTCCTCTGCCCCATCTCCGTTCCGTTCCCCTGCCTCCTGCCCCCGCTCCTTGCCCCCTTCATCAGTCTCCTGTCTCCTTTCCGTTCCCTTTCCTCTGCCTCCTGCCCCCTTTCCTTTGCCCCCTTCATCAGTCTCCTGTCTCCTTTCCGTTCCCTTTCCTTGGCCTCCTGCCCCCTTTCCTTTGCCCCCTTCATCAGTCTCCTGTCTCCTTTCCGTTCCCTTTCCTTGGCCTCCTGCCCCCTTTCCTTTGCCCCCTTCATCAGTCTCCTGTCTCCTTTCCGTTCCCTTTCCTTGGCCTCCTGCCCCCTTTCCTTCATTCCCTTTCCTCTGCCTCCTGCCTCCTTTCCTTTGCCCCCTTCATCAGTCTCCTGTCTCCTTTCTCCTTTCTATTCTTTTCCCTCTGCCTCCCTCCCCCTTTCCTTTCCCCCCTTCATTAGCCTCCTGCCTCCTTTCCATTCCCTTTCCTCTGCCTCCTTTGCCCCCCTCCATTCCCCATTCATCAGCTTCCTGCCCCCTTTCGATTCCCCTGCCCTTCTTCCGTCCTTTGCCCCTTTTCCATCCGTCCCCTTCTTTGCCCCTGCTCTTCTGTCATTCTGTCCCTCTTTTATTCTCCTCTCCTCCCATCCTTCCCTCTGCATCTTTCCTGTCTTCCCTACTTTTAGGAGAGGACCCTTTCCTCCCCCCTGCCCTGGTCCAGATAGGAATGGGGAAAGTCTTTCCCTTCCTCACCCCTGGCAGTGGCACTCTGATGCTGCCTGTGCCCTGAAGCCACAGGGCCTGCCCCCGTTTGGGCAGGCTGTCACTGACACACAGCATGGAACAGTGTGTCAAAGCAGGGGAAATGTTGCAAAGAGCAGCCTGGTAACTTAGGGGCAAAGAGGGTTGGTTGGTGTCACAATCTGAGGAGGCTGTTTGGTATGGGGTGATGGTGGTGGGGGTTTGCCGGTGCTTAAACCATGTCTTTGATTGAAAAAAAATGCTACAGAGGGAATAAGGCTGTCACTGACACACAGCATGGAACAGTGTGTCAAAGCAGGGGAAATGTTGCAAAGAGCAGCCTGGTAACTTAGGGGCAAAGAGGGTTGGTTGGTGTCACAATCTGAGGAGGCTGTTTGGTATGGGGTGATGGTGGTGGGGGTTTGCCGGTGCTTAAACCATGTCTTTGATTGAAAAAAAATGCTACAGAGGGAATAATAGGGCGGCCATGTGTCTGCTGTTTGTATTCTGTACTGCTGAATCAGCCCATTTGTAAACGTTAAACAAAATATATTGAAAGGCAACATCCTATGCAGTTGGGGACCATAAAAGCAGCCATTTAGTTAGTGTTTCCTGTAATAATAGCAGTTTTGTTTGACGTGTGTTTGGGGGAGAGGGGGGGCCCAAGTTCTGTGTGGTATTATATAAAGGGTATTGTTGGGTATTATCCAGCCTTGGCCAAAGGCTATTGCCGTCCTTCTTGGAGAGGCCCAGACTACAACTAATGCTTGACTGTGCATAAAGACTATAGAAAACAAAGTGAGAGAGACCAGCACCTTTTCATTCAGGGAATGCAGTGCTCTAAATGTGTGACTAAGCTGGATCCGTAGAGTGTTCTGATGAGCTCACCTACATAAAATTGGATTAGTTGTGGAAAAATGAGGGGAAACTCCATCAGGTAAAATCAATGATCACACACAATGATGATGGAGAATAGCTGTTTCTGCTGTTTTAAAATTTGCAATATCTATTTTTGGGGTGTGAAAGCCATCGTGCTAGCTGGATAAATGCTAGCTAGTCAAAAAACCCTTTTTGTATTTTGTAATACACCGTTTTACACTTTTACATGGAAACAGGTGCAGGGCAGAATCTGGGAGTTAATTAATGCTAAATTAAACAAGTGTTGGAATACTTTATGGTTTTGTTGTCATTTTTAGCAGGACCATGATACCTGAAATCAATGAATGAATTAAAAGTTGTGAATTGATATGTCAAGTTCTTGCAGTGGGGTTTAGCACAGTTACCTGCTATATTATACTCTCAATCTGCTGTTATTTAGACAGGTTGCCAGCTTGTTCAGCGTATTTCCAGTCCTCTTAGACTGTATTAGAACATTTGTTTCTTTTGGGAACTGCAGGAAGAAGAAAGCAAATGCATTTAGCAGTTAAAGTCATCTGTGTCTTGTAAGCCCTGCATGTTTTTACTCTGTCAGCAAAGTCGTCTTGTTTCTTCTCTGGACTTTCTTCCAAGGTGCTTTGTCAACAACAAACCTTCCATCCTCATCACAATGCTCCCTAATGAAATGTTTTTGCCATCTGTATCTCACTTATAATAAAACCTGTTGATAGCGTATCTTGTTTTAAGTTGTTTTCAGATTTTAGGCATATGTACCTAATTTAAAAGAGCACACGGTGAATTTGGCAAATATTAAGTAAATTCATCGCAACTTTAGTAAGTCTATAAATATGTTCCCCAGACCTCAAACAGAAGTCAAAGTATATGTTAGATATTGTACTTTGCCCTTCTGGCTTCAGAAAAAAATCAAGCTCTTTCAGATCGGTGAAGGCCCTACTACTAACACCCAAGCTTTCAAATCTGGGGATGCTTAGGGCTTGTGTTCATTGCAGTTAATTTGAGTTGTAACTCAATTATTGCCCTGTCTACATACAATCCCGTAACTCAGTGTGCTGATGCTTTTAAATCTTGTTGACTTGCCTGTCAGAGGATACATGCAGTAGCTTGAGTTAGCCTAACATCCTCAACTGCTAATTCATCCACTGTGTGCAGCTTGTGTTATTTTGCAGTGTGGCTGCTTTCAGTTGAGCTAAGCGAACTAGAGAGGAGTGTTCGCTCTGCAGTGAAGTTGTACCTGTCGGGCAAGCACTTTGGCGTAGATCCACTGCAGTCGTAGTGCGTGTGGAGAGAAGTGTTTCTCGTGTAGCTAGAACCCAAACAATGTAGGGAGTCAAAGTTCAATGTCCACACTTTAAATTGCACCTGGAAACTGTGCGGCCTGTACGGACCTGGTGTTTCTTATGTTCCGTCTTCTTCAGCAATCAAATACCCAGCTGTAGATTCTGGTTGGTTGTCATGAGTTCTGTTCTGTGTGCTTTACAGTAATGTAGTCCATACGAGCAAGGAGACTAGGATCCAGGCCCTCATTTGAGGTGAATGATTGTCACCACCCCATCTTACTCCCCCAGGCACAGATAAAAATCCTTTAGGGATCTAAATGCACCCCTATGTCGTGAAGCTCTGTGAAGCCGAAGTGGGCAAACCTACACAAGAATGATAACCATATTCAGGGTCTTCCTGAAACAAACCAGCATTATTTCCAGCATACCTGCATTGAGCCACAGCCAGCTTGCTGTCACCTGAGTACTTACGTCATCTGAGCCAAGCACCCAGAATGCAAACACAGGCTCTTTTCATGTCCAAAGTAACAGAGATCGAGTCATCAGATTGCAGTCTGGACCACATCCCTATGTTCCCCAGCAGTTTCATGTCCATATTAAGCAGGAAGAGTCTCTTACACCCACTCTACATCCCTCCAGTAAGAGAGCCCCCTGAGGTAGAATAACAATTCCCTAAACTGCTTAGGATCTTTCTGACAGAAGAGAATAGATACTGTTGACATTGATGTAACTGGCCCAGCATGTGTAGTCCTTGATTTCTGCAATGTGCTGAGTCCACAGCAGACTGGGCTGAGGCAGGGAGCCCATTTCCTGGTGGACTAAAAGTACAGCCCAGTAGGGTTCACAGCCAGGTTAATGAAACTTAGTGGATGATAGCAACAAGGGCTGCTGATATCATGAGTGGAGACCTGACCTATTTCCATCAATAGAGGGAGAGCAGCCAATGGGATACTGTACTGTTGCTCTACTCGGCTTCTGCTTGAAACTTGGCTTGTGGGTGTCAAGAATATCTGAGAACGACAAGGGTCCGATTCTGTTTTCTTGATCATATTGGTGTAAATCAGGAGTAACTGCCCCTTCCTGGAGCTTCTCAGCCACCATACCCCAAAAGGCATTTGAGGAACCGAGTGGTAATGAGATGATGATAAACATCAGGAGCTGGTTTGTTGAACAAGGATCTACATGGCCACTTGGTTGAGCAGTGCTGGCATGCTGCCTTTCCTTGCTAATCTCCACTAGCGGGACTCAATTTCTTCTGTAATTTTTATTTATTTTTTTTACCAGCAATGAGGGGCACAGAATACTTTCAACCTGTAAGCAATCTGAAGTTCCCCTGGCACAATTGGAGGAGTGAAATAATAATGCTTTTCAGTGAGTCGATTTGAAAGCTTCTGCCAAAGGAGGCATTATCCACATCTTAAAGATGGGGAAACCAAGGCACAGAAAGCGATAAAAATAAAATATCACCAATAACCCACTTCTTGGTTGTTTAGTTTAGCTCAGTAATTGCAATATTGATCTCCCTTCTTAAGAGCCTCCTTTTCTACTGCCTCTTCCATCCAATTCACCTTTTCCCCAACTTATGACATCTAGTTAATATATCTTTTCAAGAGCCTCCTTTTCTACGGCCTCTTCCACCCAATTCACCTTTTCCCCAGCTTATGACATCTAGTTAATATATCTTTTTTTAATGCACACTCCCATTTGATAATTGGACTAAGATGCATTGATTCCAACCTAAAGTCTTAGGGGAACTCATAAGAACTTAGCCTCCCACAGTGGGAAGTGCTAGACATGTTTTAATGGTTCTCTAGAATTTGCTGTGGTTGATCGTAAGCCTTTGAAAACAAAATAGGTCTTGCATGCCCCAGAGTTTCTGCACAGACACTTTTAAGTGAGAGGGGGAGACCTGGAAGCTGTGAATAAATATGACAAAGGTTTTTTTTCATAGCTTTCATTTTATGTA